CTCCCGGTTAAGACCAACAAGTGTCTGAACTTTCTCCACCAGCTTTCTCTCCCTTTCCGCATTTAGCTGCTCTGCAATGACGACGACCCTTGCCCAGCGCAGAATGTCTCACGTTTCAGCCACTTTTCGACCATAATTATAGCCAAGAGCAATTTGAAAAACACTTGATGCTGGCAATTAAAAAGTTGAACAACATTTTTCTTCGGCCGGGGTCCGCCCGCCCCACTTAGCCGCTGCTCGGGGCTGCAAGTGTAATTAATTAGTTTTCAATTTCACTCTGCTAAATATGCATAATTTATGTGCCGGTGAATGAAGAAATGGCAGGATGGGGGCGAGTGTGCTGTTACTCTGAAAAGGATGCTAAGCTGGAATGCTGAAGAAAATGGCTATAGGGGTATGGCCGGCATGGTCATAATAAAATTTACTAGCCATTACTTGCTCTCTCCTTTCAAGTGGCAATTCTCCAACGATTTTTCCGCCGTCTTCATCCTTTTTTCCACTTCTTCCTGGCGGTGGCAATTTGTGTGCACCAATTACTTTGTTTGTTTGCCGTTCGCCGTGCGACAATTGCAAAGGACAACTGCGATTTTTGCCACTGCCATCGCTCCTACTGCTCCAGCGACTGCTCCTCCTTCTGGTTTTGCTGCTGTTGCCACTGCACTCCACTCTGCTGCGTTTCCTCTATTTCCGTTACAAACATTTCCGTTTCGCATTGCTGCAAATTTATTGTTTCCTTGCGGGTTTCGTTCGTCCTCGTGTGCGTGTGTCCTTTTTCCACTTGTCTCCTTGAAGCACATTTGGAAGAACTCTTTGGTGCGCTGCTTGAGTCTGATGGCCCGAGCACCTTCAAAAAGGGATCCACCACTAGTCGAGGACACGGGCTCAATCAAACAGCAAAATGGCGGCAAAGCGGAAGTGCCGTCACTACATCCGGACCGCCCCACGCCCCTCACGCACCTCCCCTGCTGTACTCTTCCGGCCGGAAATACGCATTTAGTTGCATGTGAAATTGTTACATTTTTACCAACAGGCAAATTTATATTTATTTCTACGCGTCTCTTATTTTGTCGTGGCCCAAGACTTGGCGATGAAAAATTGAAATGTCGTTTCTAATAAATCATTTCGGCAAATTCAGAGGACTTGTTTGTTTTGGTTGCCGTTCGCCGTCGCCAACTGTTTGTGCTTATTTCCGTTTCCGCTGGCCCTGGCCTGGGCTCGGGCTTGGGCTTGGGCCTGGGCCTGGCTCCTGGATTTTTTCCACCCCACTTTCGAGGGGCTTTTCTTGGCGGCCTTACCTTCGCCGGATATTTTCAGCGCCGTCATTGCAGCTGACATAATTAATTACCCGAGCGCGCGAGCTTTTCCCAGCGGCTGCGTGTGCCTCGCCTGAGGCGGCGGCTGTTCTGGCAAACAGGAAGCGCCGGCCCCGTCTCCATGCTCAGATTCAATGGCGAAATTTGCCGACAGGTGGCCAAGGTGGCACAGGTAGGTGGAAACCAAGGAGGCTGAGGTAACAATTATAATTGGATCGCTTTAATTTTGTGAGTTTATGGAGGGTCAGTTGACAAACTTGGTCATCCACAAGGCAGGACAAACCTTCTGGTCCAAATTGAAGTTGAAATGGATTATTTCCATTTATCCTGGACACAAAATACCAGAGATTGAAGTGGAAGTAAAGAATTTTCTTCCTTTGGCTTTTGTATTAAATTAGCATGCATGAATAATCGCACCGAATACTGTCTTTCTTAATGCCTGCACAAGGTGACCCCAAATGGAATATTAAATGAATTCATTTTTCCGGATGACAGCCAAATCATAGAGCTTACCAGTGAACAATCTGCCTTTGAAGCCTTTCACCTCATCCTGATATCAATTTGTGAAACATTTATCTCATATGGGCCTTTGCTCGTCGCATTAAATCTTTATCGAGAGCACAAGACTGATGGCAATTTTATCGTCAGATTTCTGCTGGTATGGGAGACCAATAGCAATAGCAACAGCACCAGCAACAGGACTTTTCAATTAGGAGGCGCCACCAAAGCTGAGTTGTCCATTATCGCAGTGCAATTCAATTAGATACCGCTGGATGGGCATAAGCCCATAACATGGCAGGTGTGGGCGGAGTACCCTTTATCGGCGTGAGGGCTCGTGTAAGGGCTCCCAGTGCAGATTGCCTTGGTAGCGGCATAAAGGGAATCTTGCCGGCGCATTTGACAGCATGAAATTGAGTGAGCTGCAGTTCCTAGGCACACAATGCCTGCTCCGTTCCGTCTCATTTCGGGCCCTCCAATCGATGGGACGTACGATCTAAAGCACACGATTTGTGTGCCGGAATATATACTGTACGAGTTCGAGTACGAGTGCGGGTACGGGTACGGGCACGGGATACCCATCGCCTCGAACTCGCATGAGTTATCATTTCAGGCACATTGATTTATGCAGTCGCCGGGAAAGCAACCTGCATGGCTGCTGCTGAGATAAGAATTAATTGGCAAGTGCACTGTGCAAATAAATTGCATAGCCGGTATGGAGAGGGCACAGAGTGCACAGTGCATCGAGCACAGTGTTGCACTGGGAACTGCTGGTGTGGTGCAGTGGTTATGCGGTGGCGTGGGCAAACACACATAAAGCAGGTCCCAGGATTGCTGCTGCTTTTAATGCAAATGTGACAAATGTTTTACGGCTGGCTGCGTCTGCATTGACTCTGGGCAAACACCTGTAAATGGATTGAAGCCACAGTCCTCCGTTCAGGTGCGGAGGTTACTTGGGAGGGAATACAAGCTCTTTATATACACTTATATTAAACAAAAATTTCATACCGAGAATGGAAGTTATCTTAATAATTTAAGATTGTAAGGTTTGATATAAAAAGGCTAGAAACCTGAAACGTTTAAAATCGACAAAAAATCTTCTCCAATCTCCAATAAAAAATGTTTTTTTTGAGTTTATAAAATCTAAAATACCTAAAAGTTGACCCTGCCTTTCGATCCTGACCCGAAACCCTCGTTTATTAGCAGATGTGAAATGTAAAAGGACCTCTCGCACAAAACTGTTTGCGTTCCACACAGGCTTTAACCTTGGCGCCGCAATTGCAACCGAAGCCACAGAGACAGAACACGATGCACGATGCACGCTGGCTGCACTTTGCAATGCATTTTTGTCCATATTTGGGATTTGCATTGCCACATTAACCCTGCTCCGGAGCGAGGCATGTGTGCTGGTGCTTCTGCCCATTCGAATTGGCAGCAGGGAGTGAACATAAATTGAAGGGCAGCTGAACAACATTTGCAGTCGATCAATATTATTGCGCCTGCGGTGGGGCAATCAACGAAATGGAGAGTCCCTTAACAATGAAGGATATAGATGGAGCAGGGTGGTGGAGAGCCCGAGCCACGGGGCACAGAACGTCATGTGTCCCCTGTGGATCGCAGGCGGCACAAAGTGTGCTGTCTATTGGCTCAAACGATGTGTTTCCGCCTCCCAGGGACGCCGGCGGTTTATTGATTTCCCAACTGATTGCTCTTCCCCCCGCTAATAATATTTATTGCTGTCTTATGAAACTCCGTCTTGCACAAAACCCAGCAATTAAAGCTATTGACCTAATACACACATTAAGGATAAAGGGGGGCGGCAATCCTTGGAACCTTGTCAGCCCCAACATTATCAGCTGCTTTTCACTTGCCAATCGGTTAATTAGTTTTGCGCTGATGCCAGTCGCTGTTAGCGTCAGCAGGATGCGACTGCCGGATCCTGCGGGTCTCCCAGGTCCCTGGTACGCAATAAATTAGAAGATGCTTTCATTGATTTCTGCTGAGAGCAGCAAGTAAACATTTAATTAAATTGAAGCTCGCCCGTATTATACTCGCCCTTCCTTACTCCCGCCGCGTGCTTATTTCCTTCCTCATCTGCGAAGGCCAAACACTTTTATTTCAGTGGCAATTAAAATTACGTATACGTGATGCCGCCCGCCAACGTCCCAAAGGGCATTTGATTAATGTCCAAGCACAAAGCAAAGCAACCCAGGATTAAAAAAAGGAAAGCAATATGCAAATTGAAGATTTATTAAAGCAAGAAAGGAAGCTCAGGTCGTGATCCTGTCCCGGGAGTTAACAGTTGACAGTAATTTCCTGCAACTGGACGCGTTCAAAGCAACATGCAATTTCCGATAGAGCGCGCTGCTTTCCTTTTTATGCGACGCCCAGGTGCATGTGTCATCATTCTTGTGCCGTATAGCTGGGCTATGTTTTATGGCGGCAAGGACAAAGGCTTATAACTGTAAACGAGTCTGAAAGCCGGGTGGAGCCAGGCCTGCACCGAGATGGAGGCAGCTTCGCAGACAGAGCAGGTGGGGCGAGGAACGTGGCAGCATCTGCTGCACCACCGTAAAAAAATAACCCCACATAAGGGAATGACAAAGTAAAAGGGCACATCAAAGCCGTCTGCAACGTCGGCGGGCAGGGTGCTCCAGCTGACCGTCCACAAGCAGGATTCAAAGGGGGTATCAGGGTAAAATACCGGTATAATGGTAAAAGAGTAATGGGGAAGGATAATGCGTGGCTTTGGCTTGAGGATGGGAACTAAAAGGATTTGCTCCATGTGCCGCACTCTGGAACACATCATTTAATATGCTCAAATGAGCAAGGCTGGCAATGAACAGCATCGCCAGAAGATGAGCCATTTTTTGCATTAAGGTTATCCCCTTAACTGAGCCGAACTTATCCGCAAAGTAATGGAATCTGTTTTTGAAAGGCTCTACAGATTTCTAGTTTTCTATCTAATTACTGGAAACACCCATATGAATGCAAACCGAGCACTTTGTACTGATTTCAGCTATCATGTTGTTTCCATGTTATCTGTGTTTTCAACAGATGAAATCAGACCAAAAACAAAAGAAGTAATAAATAGAAAGTTTTTACTTTATTTACAAATGGAACTGGTGATTCACAGAGATGGTGCTGTTGTTTACCCAATAAATTAAATAAGATTCGAGTCAGGGGGGTGGGCAGAGAACCCAGTAATGGTGATTATTGAAACATGTATTGAAGGGTGGGGGTACATGTTCCGGTGGTTCGGTCGTTTCAAAAGTACGCCTCACATTGCGTCTGGCGACGCCACAGTGACCAATCTGCACAACCAGTCACCTCCGTTGTGGACACGAATCCTTTGCCGGCGGCGCAGGTGAGCAGGAGAGGTGTGGCTGCCACCGAAGGGCACATGTAGAACTGATTGGGATCCGGTGAGCTCCAGGGGGCTAGCGGGTGCTGGTTGCTGCTGTCACAGCCAGCTGACAGCTGGGCGGCCACCTGCTCCTCTGTGGGCCGACAGGCTGGCCAGTCGGCAAAGGGCAGACAGCCGAGGTGGCCCAGACCGTTGAAAAATCCACGGCCCGGCGGACACTGGAGCTGCAGCGGTTGGCCGCCATCGGAGCACACGTAGAATATGTTGGGATCCGGATCTCCCCACATGTCCGTGGCGTGTCTGCATGTTGCATTCGTGGTTGTGTGGGTCTCGGTCGCAACGGTAGACGCCTCCCCTTGCAACGGCATCAGCATCACCATCAGCACCCACCAGGGCGATGTATTCCATTTATTTTTCATAAATAATTTCATCACGAACGGCAGCCGGGCCATTTATTATGAGAGACACAAAAGTTCGCTGGTCCACTATCCACTGTCCAATTTTCCTTATTTTAATTTGCTATTATAGCTTGTTATTTTTGATGTGGTTCTTTTGCACTGTTTTCATCATTTCACCATAAGCGAGGTTCGTTAATAAATTTATGTGGTCTGCTGCTCTGCAAACCGAAACCAAACAGGCGAACTGAAAAACTCGACTCGACTGATTGATGTCGGTGCCATTGTCTTTCATTTTTATACTCGTGCTTATTGCACGACTTTCCATGTTCCTGCAGTGTTATCGGTGCTATTTTTACAGTCATTTTTCATTGGGTTTTCGGGCATTTTTATTTTGGAACAAAGTGACGTCGTCGGTCTTTGGTCTGTGGCAGAAATTCGACGATTAGATAAAGACAATACAGTTTAAAGTTTTGTGCTCCCGATGGATGATAAGTTACCAAATTAATGCTTTGGCCACTGATCTCAATCGCCAGTTGCCAAAAAAAAAAAAATAAAAAAATATTCCGAGCCTCATCGTTCGATAGCAGTAGAGTAGATTGTAAGAAATTCCCATTCAAAGTGATTCACAAGCATGAAATCACAGCTGAGTATATTTCGGTCTACCGCCCGACACATACACAAGCATGCGGTCCTTATCTAAGCGATAGCATAGACATTAATTGCCTTTCAAATGAAGCCAAATTGGAAATTATTGCTGCAGAAATCAGACGAAAATTTAATTACGCTCTTCCACCCCAGCTCCGTCGATAAGATGGATGGTACGTTGTTAGGAGTTCGGTGTTCCGGGGTTCCTGGGTTCAGATGCAGGCCCAGCTGCTGTCAAAACTTCTAATTGATTTGGCTTTAAGCGAGGGAATGAACCTCAGCTGCTGCTCCGGAGAAAGAAGTCACTTTGCGGCCCATAACCTGAAAAAGTTCGACCGTCGTCTCACGGTTTGCTGTTGAGTCACGTTGTCAATTCAACTTCCTTGGTATCTCCGCTCTCCATACTTTTTGCACTCTATTTACGCGAGTGCCAAGTTTAAATAGGCAAACTTCGGAGAGCTCTGGAAAAGTTGACAATATAATCGACATAAATTCCAATAGGCTTCCCATCGGCATCGCCGTTTGCCAGGGAATTCAATTAAAACTTTCCGAGGGAAATACGTAGACGTGCACACCTGCTCTGACATTCAGACTAAAATATTTGGCACCCAACAAAAAGTAATTCAAGACCAACCTCAAGCCCCAAAAAAACAGATTCTCGTCAGTTCCTGGAAGGTGCTCATCACTTAACCACTTGAGACGTGCTATCTGTCAAAAGCAGAGGCAGGATAGGAAATTAAGCTACGAATTGGCCATTATCTGCATATAAAAAAACTGATAACCATACAATGCTGCGTAAGAGCATACCAGAAGCCAAAACAGGCCTCGAATTACGTTCATCATTGCCGATGTCAACAAGTCGTATTGGTATTGATATGGTAGCCCTCTCGAAAGTCCCGATAAGTACCACGATCGGGTGGAATGTTATAAAAGCCATAACGCTGGCCTAAGAATCGTTTAGTCAGTGTTTAATTTTTCCCCTGAAAAGAAGTTCGGAAAGGATCTACTATGCAAAAAGGTAAGCTTCAGCAGTAAACTGAAGCATTTTTTTCAGATTTTCCATATGGATTATTAGGAATACGTCAAAAAAAGGATGATTGCTGTTAATACTTAAAGTTGTTAACGGTTTGATAATTCTTTTTAGGTTACCTGATTTTCGCGGGTCTTTTGGTTCTGGCCTACGCCGCCATGACAATAGCTGATGATGAATCGCTTACCTCCGTCTGTCAGTCGGAGGACGAGCTGTGGGGCGGCCCGGACATTCGTAAATATTACTTCTGCCTTAATGGAGCAGTGATTTCCAATGACTGCGACCCCGGCACCTACTTTGTGAACAATGCGACTGTTTCCGGCTGCCTGGCCGGGAACTTGATTAATTCTTCCTGCGTGAACTCAGACGTCTCTGAACCCGACTGCACCGGAAGCAACGCGTATTATCCACAGCCCTGTGAAGATCCCTCCCAGTACTATCTGTGCACCGACGACGGTCCCAAGCAGCTGACTTGCTGGAACAGCGGTGCGTTTGTTAACCACGAGGGATACCTTGGCTGCACCACCTGGAGCGAGTGGCGAAAAATCAGCAACTGCACCCTCGATTCCTGAACTCGTATGGCGAGCAGAGCATTTTAATTAAAGTTCTTCCAGCGCCGACTTATCGCGATTGAAAGCGGCGGAATTGAAATGTTATTAACTTAAAAATGATTGGAAATTAATTGATATATGAGCGGCGGTCAAGTATGCTGATATGATAAGGCTTGACATATATTAAAAGCAAACTACCTTTCATATTTCTGGAAGCAGGCTACTACTGAGCACATCGATTGGCCATAAATCCAGTCTCTTCCCGTTCTGGCAAGCTGAAATTGCTCAGTGGCCCGGGCATTTCGAGAAAATTCCAATCCCAATGCATTGCACTTCGTCTTGGGTGCGTGCGTGTATGTGATTGCGCAGCACCGCAAAACAATTGTCGCCGCAAACTTTTGCGCAAAACAAACAACAACTTGGGGGACAAATTACAGGGGCAGCCATGGAGCCAGGAGCAGGGACCAACTGCAGGACATGCTCCTGGTTTGCTCAACACATGTTCGTCTGCCAACGCAATCGAGTCCAGTGCAGGTCCTTCGTGCTTGGTCCTTGGGCCACTGTATCGCAGTGCTTGCGTGTGTGTCAACGACTGCCTGCATCAAGTTCTCGCCGGGCTAAAAATGAGTTTAAAGTTCGATGCTGAACCGCATTAATCTTGTTTCTGGGTGGAGTGCAACATGAAACCAAAAGTTGCCAATGATTGCAGAAGCAGCAGGGTCAAAGAAGTGACCCAAAGGGTACTTTTAATGCGATATCCTCTTGCATGATATTTTGAAATCAGCAGAGCAATGAACTTTATAAAGAGAGTACTCAGTTAGGGAAAAGTTCATTCCAAACTAAGCCACTAGGTTTTGGGTTATGGAAGCTCTACAGCACATATAGATCTCCTGAGGGAGTGATCTATTTACTTCATATTTTTTTGGCCCTACCTGCAGATCCACTTTACTGCCAGGCCCTCTTACTTTCTGATCATTTGCTGCGATTGCTGGGCTACTGCACATCCGACTAGGTAATAAATGTCTGAGTGGGCAGGCAGCGAGGGCAAAGTGTCAGTGACACGAAACTGCAGCCCCACCCCGTCCCCCGGCACCCGCTGTTTTGTACCACCACGCCCACCCCAAATGAGTTAGTCAGGAAATTGCATTATTTGTCTTTGGCCATTGCGGGCAAAAACCGTACAATGCTGGCGAGTGGCTATGTGTATGTGTCTGAGTGTGTGCCACGTTGGAGTCTCCCATGGGGCACTAACTAGTGTGGCGGCCATCCTGTATCCCCTCTTTGCGCCCCCACTTCACCCCTCTACACCATCACTTGGGCTGCTCGTTTTGCTGCCTCGGCAGCCACTTTAAAATGGCGTGGCTATCTCCGGGCCTGTCCCGTCACACATGCGAGTTTTCAAATGCTCCAAAGTCACAGCAATCTTTCTGCTCCATTTCCGCCCACTCCTGCAGCTGTTGCTGCCACTGCATCCTGCCTGCCTGCTGCTCCTACTTTTGCCGTTGTTGTTGCATTTTAATTGCATGGATGCCTGTGCCGTTCGGGCCATTAATCCTGCACAAGTTTTGTGCAAAAATTGCGAAAAGGGATTTTTAAAGTCACAACTGTCGTATGTTATCAGCACACCCGGGGAGAGTCACTTTCAGAGAAGAGTGGCCCAAAGAGTTTAGGGCAGGGTAGCAGTATTTCAGCTGAGAACATGCTGCACAGCCAGAAAAAATTAGCTATATTAATCTTAAACATCTTATAGTTGTTTTACAATTATTATAACTTTATTTTAAAAAGGTTTAGTTGGACATTTATAATTAAATAGTCTAAAAAGTAATTATAGTTTAAAACCTTTTCCCCCAGTGTGCAGTTAAGAGACCGACTGGCTGGTCCGACTGCAGCAGAGGTGCTTGGCTTTAATTGAGTTTACAATTTGTTTGTGGTCTCTGCTCTGCTCCTCAAGTTTCGCCAGTGACTTCAAGGGCCCGGAGCCACAATTGTTGGCAACTCTTCTAATCTCTGACCCGTTCTTGACGTGTTGTTACTTTAATTAAGTTTTGGAGCGCTGGCAGCATAAATAATTTCTCACGACAACCGGGCGTATACGCAATGCGCTAACAGTTTTATATTCATTCTTTATTTTCCTTATACTTCCTTTTGCTGGCCATTGTGCAGGGCATTTCCCCTCGAACGGGCATAATTGGCATTTTTAGACCTCGCAGGCCTCCTCTGCAATCTGAAATCGAGTGGTGACAGTCAGTGCCCCCCATACCCTGGCGATGTGGCTTCCGTTGAATGATTTTTCAGTGCGCGCGTTTTCGCGCTCGAATTGTTTGCGATTCGACGGGGAAATGGGGTGCGGGCACAAAAGTTGGCTTAAACTTTTCCACTTGAATGGCAGCGGAAGGTTTTATGCGCCTCAGTTCCATTGGCCCCTCGTTGGGCTCCTCTCCCAGCGACTTGTGCCACATTGTGTTGCAGCGGCGCATGAAAGTATGCAGCATAAAATTTGTGCTCTGCAACAAATAAATATTTGACCCCAGCACCCCGCTGCGAGCCAAGCTTTTTGCAACAGCCACTGTCCCAGCCCCCCTCATAGCTTGGCACTTGCAGTTCACGGCTTCGTTGAATTTATATTTGCACTTAACAACCGAGCACCAACAAGACCAGGATGAGAAACAGAAACAGGAGCAACGACAACGACAACGCGACAACAGCAGCAACAATACAACCACACCCCACCACAGCACCACTGTCGGGAGGGTAAAGTTTGTTTGGCTTATTTTTTGGTTACAAATCAAATCCAAAATCGCATTAAAATTGCATGCAGCGGAAAAATTGTGCAGCCAACTCGCAGAAGGGATGTGAAAGGCGCCCAAATAACCGCGTAACCAGAAGCCTTGCCACAATAAGGACTTCTGGTGCAGGAGAAAGGATAAGAGGGAACGGTAGTCGGTTAGAGCTGGGGGGGGGGGCTAAGAAATGGGTGGAACATGGTGTGCTGGCGGTGCTGAAGTGGTTTGACTGCTGCTGCCTGGCCCTTGTTGTGCGAGACATTTGCTGCGGTGCTTTATTGTTGCTGTTGGCATTGCAATTGAATTTTTGCGAGACGAAATCACTTCAACGCCTTCGATTTCAATTTCCGCCACATTTCAAATTTGTATTCTGTTATTGCATTTCGCCAGATTCCCCACCCGTAATTGTCCTTGTTTTTTATGGGTTTTCCTTGTTGATTTGGGAATTGCGGTTTACATCGAAGGTGCAGAAATTGATTTTTCTTCCAGGCACGGCGAAGTAGTTCCTAAGATTTATATCTGGAAATTGATTTGCTGCGGTTCATATTGATACAAGAAAAATAAAGGTGCTCAGATATTATTCTTGCATCACCATGAACCAACCGCAAATAAGACCAAATAAATCAAGTTTTGCATTTCTTTTTCATTTCAAAAGAGCTTTTAAGCTAAAGACAAACAAATGAAGTAAAGACCCATTTACCAAGTTCCGGGTTCTATTTTTTTGCAACCATTTGGACTTCAATTTCTAATTACTTCTTTCTTAGTTTTATTTTATGGTTTTTTCCTCTGACTGGCATTGATACATCATTCCTTTTTTTTCCTTTCTTCTTTTGTGATTCGATGGCTTTGCGATTGGACACGCACATGAAGAGCTCCTACTTTCCCCTCGGCTTTTTATTTTCCCATTTTGCATTTGGCACTGCCTCTTCTAGCCACATGGGGAAGGTTCTTGAGTTAAGGAGGGGACCAGTTGCTACGTAGCCCCTGCAAGCCGCAAATTAAACAAGCCCATGTCGATGTAGGGCTTTTAGGCCTCTTTCATTTCGATTCTATAGCTTGCAGCTAAATGGTAGTACCCCTTGTACTTGCAAAATATTTACTAGCACAATATATTAGATATTTACATTAATGTTTATTAAAGAAAATTAAACAAGCTTTTACTTACATCAATGAATTTTAGGTAGTTTCAATTCAATGCCAGGTAGCATTTAGTCGAGGATAGTCCAAGGGGACTATTTTGCCGGGTCTGTTGTGGTGCTGCATGTCCTGCTTCTATTCCTGTTGTTTGCTGTCACTCGAGGACGACGCTGTCTGGATGGCTGGCTGGCTGACTGAATGAGAGAGGCAGGCTGCCAGTGTAGCCGGCGTTGTAATGGTGAGGCATCAATATCTCATTTGTATAACATATCGCAGTCAATATGCGACACGTGTATAAGTATCTAGTTTACTCGGGCGGGGCGGTAGGGTTTAGGGATCGGTTTCCAGGGGGCGTTTGCCGTCCGTTGCATGTCATTGTAATGGTATCATGCCGTAACAGATTTCTGTTTACCTTGATTTACATATGCACACGAGAGCCGGAAGGTGGAGATCCGTAGTCCTTATAGGGGATAAAGTGGGTGGGAGACAAGCCGCAACAGAGCAAACAAACGATTCAGCTGGCTGGCTGCTCACTCCAACGTCGTGCCACGTAAATAGAAAAGAAAACACTTAAGCATGCACTTAGTCTTTGCGCCTTTCACTTCGTGTCGATGGCGTTGTCGATGGCGATGTCGCCTTCGATGTGTCTGTGTGGCGTGTGGGTGTATGGGTGTGAATAAGGACATGTGTGAGTACCAGGACACAGGAGTGTGTACTGGGTGTGTTGTGTGCTACCAACTGCGATTTATGCAAATTTGTTTGGCTGCTGAGCCAAGCCCGGCTGTCGACTTTTTTGTTAACAGTTTCTGTTCCGTTATTCTTCCCTTTGTGCTTTTGTCTTCAACCACTTCCACTCCACCACTTCACCACCCACCCATTCACCCACTAAGCAAATAAAGTTATTTGCATGCGCAAGTAAATCGATTTGTGTATATCAAATTGTGGGGCTTCAAACAAAAAACAGAAAAATCGCATACTCTCAAAGCAGAAAGCCAAACAAAAACAAAGATTACTGCTTTGCCCCAGCTGTGCTGTGTTGCAGGGAAAGAATAAAAAAAAAATCCGGATCACACGAAGCGCTTTACGTATTGATTGAATGTACGCTCTTAGCTTCGTTCTGAATTCAAAATGATGAAACTTTAATGAAAGTTGATTTTTAATTTAATTGGGCCACGATAACAAATTTTTGGCAATTACATTAGCGATGCCAAACGCGGAAAAACAATACACGTAACCGCCGCAAAGCTGGGCGCTCATTTTGTTTGTCCATTTGAGAGCTTTCCGCTGCAGCTAATTAAAAATTATTAAAACTAGCGAGCAAAGTTAAGTCCATGGGGCTCAAAGTGGAATCGACCATGGGAAATTGCCGTCATGTCAATTTACCAAATTGCACAAACAAACAGAGGGCCAAAAGCGAGGCCACTCCAGATGGGTGGGAGAGTCCACACACACGTATCGAACATTGCGTAATTGTTGCACGTATGCCGCCCGATGTGGCCCAAACAAACGCAAATCCTTGCCAGCATCAGCAAGCCCGCCATCCTCCCAAAAGCAGCTTATGTCCTTTCCCATCGCGACCGGGGCCGAATCGACCAAGCACCTACCCGCTGTGCGTTTCGCATAAATTAACCAGCACTCACCCGGGAAAAATCGGAAAACACTTTTTAATTATATTTTCAACAACAATTTGTTTCAATACATTTTCGGTTGTTTATTTTCGTGGCCTCGTGGGCGGATCCTGTGGTTCAGTCCACTGCCAGTCCTTCCACTTCACGCAACGTTGCTCTCTGTCGTAGAACAGCTCATTGGCGGGGCAGTGCTGGAGCTGGGCCGGCTGATCCGCCTTCCCGCACTTCCAGTAGGCAGTGGGATCCCAGAAGTGCCGGAAGTTCCGCTGCAGTTCCTCCGGACTGTGGCATCCCGGCTCACCATTATAGTCCCTTCCAGACATGGCTGCAAATAATCGATCAGGTATTTCAAAAATAAAATGCATATTCAGTTTTAAAGTTTAACTTAATATTTAAATATCTTTGGCAATAATTATCCGATTCTTGAGCGTAATATCTTAAACGATTTGTGGAAGGATTCTCTATCAATCTGAATCAAAATCTACAAACGAAATATTTTTTCGATTTTTTGTCAAATTTTCTGGATGGTCCCCTTCAAAAAAGGGGAAAATGCACTGAACGCCAAAATGGGCCCAAGCGATAGCCATATCTTTGCCAATAACTAACCGATTCTTGAGCGAAATATCTTAAACGATTTGTAGAAGGATTCTCTATCAATCTGCATTAAAATCTACAAACGAAATATTTTTTCGATTTTTTGTCAAATTTTCTGGGCCCTTTCAAAAACGGGGAAAATGCACTGAACGCCAAAATGGGCCCAAGCGATAGCCATATCTTTGCCAATAACTAACCGATTCTTGAGCGAAATATCTTAAACGATTTGTAGAAGGATTCTCTATCAATCTGCATTAAAATCTACAAACGAAATATTTTTTCGATTTTTTGTCAAATTTTCTGGGCCCTTTCAAAAACGGGGAAAATGCACTGAACGCCAAAATGGGCCCAAGCGATAGCCATATCTTTGCCAATAACTAACCGATTCTTGAGCGAAATATCTTAAACGATTTGTAGAAGGATTCTCTATCAATCTGCATTAAAATCTACAAACGAAATATTTTTTCGATTTTTTGTCAAATTTTCTGGGCCCTTTCAAAAACGGGGAAAATGCACTGAACGCCAAAATGGGCCCAAGCGATAGCCATATCTTTGCCAATAACTAACCGATTCTTGAGCGAAATATCTTAACCGATTTGTAGAAGGATTCTCTATCAATCTGCATTAAAATCTACAAAACGAAATATTTTTTCGATTTTTTTGTCAAATTTTCTGGATGGTCCCCTTCAAAAATGGGGAAAATGCACTGAACGCCAAAATGGGCCCAAGCGATAGCCATATCTTTGCCAATAACTAACCGATTCTTGAGCGAAATATCTTAAACGATTTGTAGAAGGATTCTCTATCAATCTGCATTAAAATCTACAAACGAAATATTTTTTCGATTTTTTGCAAATTTTCTGAAGGATTTTCCCCCTTCAAAAATGGGGAAAATGCACTGAACGCCGAAATGGGCCCAAGCGATAGCCATATCTTTGCCAATAACTAACCGATTCTTGAGCGAAATATCTTAAACGATTTGTAGAAGGATTCTCTATCAATCTGCATTAAAATCTACAAAACGAAATATTTTTTCGATTTTTTTGTCAAATTTTCTGGATGGTCCCCTTCAAAAATGGGGAAAATGCACTGAACGCCAAAATGGGCCCAAGCGATAGCCATATCTTTGCCAATAACTAACCGATTCTTGAGCGAAATATCTTAAACGATTTGTAGAAGGATTCTCTATCAATCTGCATTAAAATCTACAAACGAAATATTTTTTCGATTTTTTGTCAAATTTTCTGAAGGATTTTCCCCCTTCAAAAATGGGGAAAATGCACTGAACGCCGAAATGGGCCCAAGCGATAGCCATATCTTTGCCAATAACTAACCGATTCTTGAGCGAAATATCTTAAACGATTTGTAGAAGGATTCTCTATCAATCTGCATTAAAATCTACAAACGAAATATTTTTTCGATTTTTTGTCAAATTTTCTGGGCCCTTTCAAAAACGGGGAAAATGCACTGAACGCCAAAATGGGCCCAAGCGATAGCCATATCTTTGCCAATAACTAACCGATTCTTGAGCGAAATATCTTAAACGATTTGTAGAAGGATTCTCTATCAATCTGCATTAAAATCTACAAACGAAATATTTTTTCGATTTTTTGTCAAATTTTCTGAAGGATTTTCCCCCTTCAAAAATGGGGAAAATGCACTGAACGCCGAAATGGGCCCAAGCGATAGCCATATCTTTGCCAATAACTAACCGATTCTTAAGCGAAATATCTTAAACGATTTGTAGAAGGATTCTCTATCCATCTGCATCAAAATCTAGAAACGAAATATTTTTTCGATTTTTTGTCAAATTTTCTGGATGGTCCCCTTCAAAAATGGGGAAAATGCACTGAACGCCAAAATGGGCCCAAGCGATAGCCATATCTTTGCCAATAACTAACCGATTCTTAAGCGAAATATCTTAAACGATTTGTAGAAGGATTCTCTATCAATCTGCATTAAAATCTACAAACGAAATATTTTTTCGATTTTTTGTCAAATTTTCTGGATGGTCCCCTTCAAAAATGGGGAAAATGCACTGAACGCCAAAATGGGCCCAAGCGATAGCCATATCTTTGCCAATAACTAACCGATTCTTAAGCGAAATATCTTAAACGATTTGTAGAAGGATTCTCTATCAATCTGCATTAAAATCTACAAACGAAATATTTTTTCGATTTTTTGTCAAATTTTCTGGATGGTCCCCTTCAAAAATGGGGAAAATGCACTGAACGCCAAAATGGGCCCAAGCGATAGCCATATCTTTGCCAATAACTAACCGATTCTTGAGCGAAATATCTTAAACGATTTGTAGAAGGATTCTCTATCAATCTGCATCAAAATCTAGAAACGAAATATTTTTTCGATTTTTTGTCAAATTTTCTGAATGGACCCCTTCAAAAATGGGGAAAATGCACTGAACGCCAAAATGGGCCCAAGCGATAGCCATATCTTTGCCAATAACTAAACGATTCTTGAGCGAAATATCTTAAACGATTTGTAGAAGGATTCTCTATCCATCTGCATCAAAATCTAGAAACGAAATATTTTTTCGATTTTTTGTCAAGTTTTCTGGATGGTCCCCTTCAAAAATGGGGAAAATGCACTGAACGCCAAAATGGGCCCAAGCGATAGCCATATCTTTGCCAATAACTAACCGATTCTTAAGCGAAATATCTTAAACGATTTGTAGAAGGATTCTCTATCAATCTGCATTGAAATCTACAAACGAAATATTTTTTCGATTTTTTGTCAAATTTTCTGGATGGTCCCCTTCAAAAATGGGGAAAATGCACTGAACGCCAAAATGGGCCCAAGCGATAGCCATATCTTTGCCAATAACTAAACGATTCTTGAGCGAAATATCTTAAACGATTTGTAGAAGGATTCTCTATCCATCTGCATCAAAATCTAGAAACGAAATATTTTTTCGATTTTTTGTCAAGTTTTCTGGATAGTCCCCTTCAAAAATGGGGAAAATGCACTGAACGCCAAAATGGGCCCAAGCGATAGCCATATCTTTGCCAATAACTAACCGATTCTTAAGCGAAATATCTTAAACGATTTGTAGAAGGATTCTCTATCAATCTGCATTAAAATCTACAAACGAAATATTTTTTCGATTTTTTGTCAAATTTTCTGAATGGACCCCTTCAAAAATGGGGAAAATGCACTGAACGCCAAAATGGGCCCAAGCGATAGCCATATCTTTGCCAATAACTAAACGATTCTTGAGCGAAATATCTTAAACGATTTGTAGAAGGATTCTCTATCAATCTGCATCAAAATCTACAAACGAAATATATTTTCGATTTTTGTCAAATTTTCTGGATGGTCCCCTTCAAAAATGGGGAAAATGCACTGAACGCCAAAATGGGCCCAAGCGATAGCCATATCTTTGCCAATAACTAACCGATTCTTGAGCGAAGTATCTTAAACGATTTGTGGAAGGATTCTCTATCAATCTGCATCAAAATCTACAAACGAAATATTTTTTCGATTTTTTGTCAAATTTTCTGGATGGTCCCCTTCAAAAATGGGGAAAATGCACTGAACACCGAAATGGCCCCAAGCGATGGCCATATCTTTGCCAATAATTATCCTATTCTTGAGCGGAATATCTTAAAAGATTTGTGGATGGATTCTCTATCAATCTGCATCAAAATCTTTCAATTTTTTTTAGAAATTTTCTTCACTTCAACATTTTCTAAAATGCCAGGGGAGGACAATGTGACCAACGGGGTTGGGTATATTTTTGTCAATAATCGTCCGATACTTGAGCAGAGTAACTCCATCGATTTAACGAATCCTTGTCAATGTGCCTCAAATAACACAAACTGATTTATTTTTTCCATTTTATAATTTCATATTTAGTTTTTTAGGCAGCAGTCACTGCAGGCTGGCTAGGCGGCAGCTCGGTGGGAGACCAGTACCACTGGGAAAACGGAACGCAAGCTTTTGCCTCGTCCAAATACCCGTACCCTGGAGCACACTGGCCCAGAGTGGCAGGAACTCCCAATGTACTGCAGATCCAGTAGGCGTTCTTCAAGTAAAAGTGGCGGTAGAAGACCTCGGCCAGTTCCTGTTCCGTTTGGCATCCCGGTTGACCAGTGGGCTTGCCCACCGCAGCTCCATTAGAGAGGGTGGAGCAACTCAGGACGAGGAACAAGGCGAATAGAGTCAGAAACTTCATCTTTCTTTCGGCTGAATTAATTTGGGGACTGCTTCCGTTGGACTGACCTATGCTAATCCATGGCCCGCTTTTTATACACTCTTGGTCTGGGCCGAAATCTTATCTAGCGGAAGATGAAAAGCTGCGGCCGCGATAAGCTTACCCGTGTAAGCCTCTGGAATCAGCCTACAGTGTTTGCCATTTGGAGGCAGTTTATGGCGCTGTTTGTTTGCCCAATTGTTGTTTCTTCCGCTCGAGTCGCTGTCCAAGTGCTGTCCAGGTGGTCTCACGTCCCATCGACTCATCCACCGTTCCCCAGCTACTTGCCTGCTTGCATATTCATGACATCAACGGCAGCTGTAAATTATTTTCAGAGATAGCCGGGCAGGCCGCAAACAAGCGGAGGAGCAACGTTGTTTCCTTGGCCAATGCCAGCGATTCTCGCAGTGCCCCAGCTCTCACTGCTGCCACTGCCACTGCTAATTAATTCAAAACACTGCCTCAAAGGCATTTTTGGGGCTGGTCCAACAAATTTCACCTGACTCTCGGAGGGAGAGCGCCTTAAGCCATATTAGGTCCTTGCGCACTTGAGTAATTGCCGCAGTGCACTGTGCTGCAGTCGAGCCTCCCGCTTCCGGTTGCTCCTCAGCCAACTTTGGCTTTGTTGCTCAGTTTTGCGGATTGGGCTTTTGTTAGTTTTGGGCCATAAATTAAATCGGGTTATTAATGTCTGCCATTAAATGAAGCCACCGGTAGGAACGGCGCTTGGCTGAATTTGCTTCGAAAAGCTGGAAAGTCCTTGTCCTTGTCCCATTGCAGCGGTCTCTTGGCCTCGCCGAGTGATTTATGTTAATTCGTGCGGCATTTGTAGCATTTCCCGAGTATTTTGAGATGTTCAAAGACAAGGCCATTTGTTTTACATGCACACAGGTAGAGATTCAGAAGATTCGCCCAGGTTTAAAGTCTTCTTTTAAGAGAACTTTTCTCTCAAAAATTTAATTCGAACTGAAAAAATGTGGTTCGATGTAAAATAATTGAGTTGTATTTTTTAACACCATTTTCCTCTATGAATATTCAGCATTTCTCACTGTCTCTGCAATTTAAGGGCATTTGCAGAGAAACAAACAATACGAGACATAAGGGAAACAAATGAACCTTTGATGCAATTACATATGTATATTGCGTATACGTCACGTATGCTTGAATGTAATTTTAAAATTTTTACCCGCACTCGTCTCCTCTTTAATACTTGCACACACACACTGCTCTCCCGTACCCCGATGGCGGAAAATTCTTTTACATGCAAATGTTTTGTTGGGTTTCACATGTACGCAAAAATAAAATTTCGATTGAAACGTATTTTTTTGCCGCTTATTGATGTGCTCGCTGGTCTGACAAAGCGTTTGACTGACAACTGTGAAATGAAATAAAATGCTCGCAAAAGTGCACGGGCGAGCGCATCAAAAATAGTGCAACTTATTGCACGGGTGAGAGCGGGCCTCGGGTCGCCCCCTGGGAGGACCGAGGATTTTCCCATGGGGGTGGCAAGATCCAGATCCAGGAGGGGTTAAGTGGGCGTTCGGCCGTGACACTGCCAAGCATATATTGATTTATGACATACACTATGCCAGAAACCAAAACTCACACAATTGCCACCCAAAAAGGGGGCTCGGCCTCGCTTAACTGCTGTCAGAAGCCGCACGTTAACAATTGCAACTGTAATTGCAACTGGCTATCGGGGGGGCTGCCATAAAAATACACTCTGAATTCTGTGCGACGGGCACTGAGCGAAATGAGTGCCACGGATCATAAATATGAATCATGTCGGATTTGTGGGAAGAGGTACATATGGTGGTTTATTGCTCTCGCGGATCTTGCACTTGACATTGCCCAGATAAGTGGGAGACCACTTGGATACACATTGGCTTCTACACCTCCACATAGCTGTGAGATACGGTCGACAGCTAAAATAAACTCATTTATTAAAGAATTTTCACAGTTTTGTGAAACATTTTGTATAGACATTGCTTTAACATCTTTTAATATATTTATTTCACTTAATTCCCTCTTTTAGTTTTCATCCTACCTTTCAAATATATTATACTTTTAAATCAATTGATATATATATATATATATATATATATATATTAAAATGAAGTTGCTTAAAAAAAGGACTACAAAGTTTGAATATTAAAGCTCAAACAAAAACGTTTCTGTTTTTACCTATGATATTACCGCCTTTATTATTAAAATAATTTAAACAGCTTCGGCTACAAAACTAACAAATAATCGCTTTTTCAAAGTTTATTTAGTTTTCGTTTATTTTTACTTTTTGTTGGATCCATAAGCTTATTAACCCATTTACATACCAAATGGCTTTGGTGGCTCCATTTCAACATACAATTTGTCGCAACATGGCTAATAAATAAGCGTTCGCATTTATAGAGAAAAACTAATAAATTTGGCAATTTGTAAATTAAAAAATTCATTTAATGCTTATATGCGCAAATTAGCGAAAAATATATAACAATATATTTTCTCTTTCCACAAATGATAATGTTTCAGCAAGGCACCCAACCGGGTGCTCGACTTGGTGGCTCATGACACGGCTGCCACACCCATGCGATCCAAGGCACACAGGCATTCTTATCCTGGTCGAATCCTGTGTTGGCCTGACAGTTCCTGAGCTTGGCTTTAGCGCCCAGTTCAGAGCACAGCCAGTACTTCGTTGGATCCAAGCAGTGGCGCTGGGGAATGCCCACCTCCTTCCCGTGCCGACACCCTGGTTCGGTGGAGTCGTTGCACTGTGCCAGTGTCCTGGGCGGAAGGAGCAGTAGCAAGAGCAGACAGCCGGCAAGTGGCCAGAACGGCCAGAAGAGAGCTGAGCAGGATAATCATCTTTAGTCTTGCGAAGGTCTTTTGATGGGCGACAGAATGGACTCACCTTGCGGACGCATGGCTTCGATGACAGTGGGTGGTGTGATGGGTTGTGACCGGGCCTTTATAGGGTCTTCAAGTGGCCGTTGTTATCAATCGCTTTCGATTGATTCGACTCCAAGTTCGACGTCCCCCTCGAGGTCACTGCTGTTTGCCCATCTCCAAAGTTGGTACAGCCCACTTGGCCAACTTAAGCTGAATGAGAGTTGCGAGGGGTGACAAAGCCAAGACAAAAGACACATGTCCGGAGCGAGATTTAGCTGGAAACTGCAAAGCAATTGCAAGTGGAAACTAACAAGAAAAGGGCGAGAAAATCGGAAAGGGAACAAAGCAGCAGCTCCTTCTCCTTCGCTAGCCAATTTCGCTGGACATGCCAAATGCATTTCCGGCTACCACCGCATGCTCTCCCATGTCAGGACTCCAAATAAAGCAAGTCACTCCCATTTGTGGCTGCCCCGCCATTGACAGGGCGAACAAAATATATAAATGGAAAAGTTACAGTGTCCTCGCAAAAATAAATTATAAAAGTCAAAGACATGTGGTGGAATGAATGAAACACAAAAGATGTTTTTCAGTTGCTAGCCACTCCTATCAAATACATTTCGGAGCTAATATTGCAAAGTATTTGAGTGCATTTACACAGAATGTGGTAAAATTGGAAAACCAATGGTTCTATGAAATTTGAATTTCCCGCAAACGCTAATAAAGCTGCCAGACTTCCGCATAATCTTGTTAGAGATGGGACTCAGTCAGAGATGGAGCAAAGTATGGAATTTAACGCCGGTATTTTGTAATGATAGCAAGCCAATCAAAATTTTTCTTTCCAAAGAGCTGGAAAACGAAGAAAATTGTAGAGCAACTTAATGACCAAAAATTAATTCCGAAGAACGAAAATTATTATTTACAGGGCTGGGTCTCTTTTAAGTGTCTTTGGTCACACTTCACTTCCCCTCACACACATTTGCCATCTCTGTCACTCCCATAGGAGTGCAAAAGAGAGCCCTGTGAGAGAAACGAACCAAAACAGGGTGACCGTTGCACAGAAACATACACAGGGTAACTCGGGGCCAAAATAAATAAAAAAAATACCAGGGGAGTGCAGAAATTAGAAACAAATTAAGTAATAATAATAAATTGGGGAATAAAAACGAGCGTGCGGTCGAAATAAACATCCGCAAAACAACAACCGAATCCCCGCCGAACCCGCGTCGAGATGCATCCAAGCTCCGCGGCCCCGACACACGCAAATCACAGGTTCCCTCGCAGTAGGAGTAGCAACAACAACGTTACCAGCACCAGCACCAGCAGCAGCAGCAGCAAAGGCAGAGCCACACAAACCGAAGTGTAGTGAACGAATCAAATCTAATTATAACAAAAAAAGTGCAAAAGCCAGGCGATACCAAGCCGCTCGCAGACATTGGCATACGTCCACTCACACAGCCGCAGTCAGTGGTTAATTAGTGGCGAAAAAAATTAACGATTTTCGGGGGAGGCGGAGCTGGGGCAGCGCAGCGGCATCGGCAGCGGCAGCGCGGCGACAGAGACCTCTCTAGCACTTGCTGAAATAGTCTGGACGTTGTTATTGTTGTTGTTATTGGGGAAATAAGTCCTGAGGAACGAACAACAGGCCACAACGAGTAGAGCCCAAGGCATGGGCTGAGGGCAGAGGGAGTGCAGCAGAGGAGGAGCAGCAGCTAGGAGCCGCGATGGCCAACCAACTGGACGCCAATGTCAAGGACGACCTGAAGACGCAGTTCGTCACACGCGAGGGCACCTACCGGCTGCTGACCCTCTCCGAATACTCGCGACCCAACCGGGTCGGCTACAGCAGCAACCAGAGCTCTCCGCAGGTCCGGGTCTCCATAGTCACGCTCCCGAATCCGGGCAAGGTGCCGGCCGAGGCAGGATCGCCCACAGGAGGAACAGGGGCAGCAGGAGGAGGAGGAGGAGGAGCGACCGGGGCAGCGGGAGCGGCTACCACAACGAATGGTACCTCGCCGGCGTCTTCGCCAACTGGGGCAGCAACAGGAGGTGGAGTAGGCAACTTGTCCAATGGTGGCGCCGGCGGGGACAACAACTACAGCAACAATAACAATAACGGCAGCGGTGGAGGAGGAACCAGCACGGTGGATGCCCGCCTGGGCGGCGGAATCTCCATGCACTCGATGATGAACGGCAGTGTAATGGACCAGAACGGAGTGGCCACCAATCAGATTGTGGGCGGAGACCGCATCTGTTTCAACTTTGGCCGGGATCTGTATGTCTACTCATTTCGCGGTGCCAAAAAGGTATGTCCCGATGATTACGTATCCCTACATGTGACGTGTTCTTAGCATCCAAGCCATGGAGGGGTACAGGGGAGGCTTATCTCCGAAATATAGAAAGGCACGAGATAAGCAGGGATGACAATTGCATTCTGGACGAAGTGCACCAACCAATTGGATACCTTCCCAGTCGCATTTTCATTCGCTTTCCGAGTCGTCCCCCCCGGCGGGCTTAATTTGTTCCACTTCGAGCGGTTGATGATCAATTCGCTTGTTTGGCGTTTTTATGAATGTTTATTGCGCCCGAAGGCAGCGGCCTTCCCGCAGCGGGTTGAGCTCATCCCGCTGCCCAGATTACTCTTCTCGCGTCTTATATAATCAGCCGGGGGGCGGTCCGATAATATCTAAAATCTAAACTGGTTCTAATTGGTGGCCAGGTGACACTGGCCAGAGATTTATTAGACCCAGTTCTTGGGCCCTAGTGTTAGAGTGTTTGGGGTTCGACTTTCCATCCTCCTTCAGCCCCATGCTCAGCAGCTGTTTCTAATTCTTTGGCATTTCTGTTCGGCAACAGCTTGCGATTTTAGCTGGGACTGGGATCTGGGGTCTGGGGTCTGGGTCTTTGTTGCCCCACACAGTCATCTGTGAAAAGGTGGCATATCCCCACCTGATTCTGCCAACAAGCCGCTAATTATTATGAAGCTTCCGAAAGTGTTAATTTTTGATATTCCAGCGACAAGGCTAGTTATTCCCCTGATTTAGTTTAGAAACCTCTTCTAGTTATGCAAGCTTAGTAGCTCAACTAGAAGATAAACACTAGCAGCTGATTGTGACGTCTGTTGATTTCCCATTTCCAGGGCACCGAGATGAGCAAGCCGATTGATAAGAAGTTCTACAAGGGCACCAATCCCAGTTGTCATGACTTTAACGCGAGCGCAGCCACGCCCACGGGCGCGCCACTACTAGTGGGCTTCACCACGGGTCAGATACAGCTCGTATCCCCCCAGGTGGGACCGAGGGAGATGCGGAAGCTATTCAACGAGGAGGTAACACACTCTGGTTCTAAGCTCTCAATTGGAAAATAATTAATGGAGATTTTTGTTTCTCACAGCGACTGATCGACAAGACCAAAGTGACCTGCCTAAAGTGGTTGCCCAACTCGCCGCACCTGTTCCTCGCCGCGCACGCCTCGGGTCACCTGTACCTGTACAACGAGGAGCTACCCTGCGCCGCCACCGCGCCCAGTTACCAGCCCTTTAAGCTGGGCGATGGCTATACGATACTCACCTGCAAGGCCAAGTCCACCCGCAATCCGCTGTACAAGTGGGTCTTCAGCACCGACAACTGCTGCGTGAACGAGTTCTGCTTCTCGCCCTGCGGCTCCCACTTGGCTGTGGTCTCCCAGGACGGTTTCCTGCGCGTCTTTCACTACGACACGATGGAGCTACTGGGAATAGCTCGTTCCTATTTCGGCGGCTTCCTGTGCGTCTGCTGGTCACCCGACGGAAAGTACATCGTGGTGGGCGGCGAGGACGACCTGGTAACCGTGTGGTCTCTACAGGAGCGCAGGGTAGTGGCGCGCGGACAGGGCCACCGCTCCTGGGTCTCAGTCGTGGCCTTCGACCCCTATACCACTTCGTACACCAACTGGGATGGCGGCGATTTTAGCGACGATGAGAATCAGATGAACGAGTATACCAACTCGCGGGAGGCTCGCTTTTCGGCAGATTCGACGGCCAATGGCTTCGATGGATTCGACCGGAACTCTACGCCTGTACATGCATCACGGAATCGACCCCATTCCGCCTCTTTCCGATCAGACGCCTCGTCGGCCGACAAACTGGCTATAAGCTACAGACTGGGATCCGTCAGCCAAGACACCCAAATATGTTTGTGGGACATCACGGAGGACGTGTTGCGGCATCCACTGGCTCTCAGGCAGCGGGTGAACAGTGAAAGGGCGTACGTGAACGGGGGTCTGGACGGCGAAGCGGATCCAGAGGCGGATGGCATTAAGGTGATTAGACCGGTGGCCATGGGACAGGCTGGTTCGGGAAGCTGCAGTCCTATCAGGGAAACGGCTGGTGGCGCGGGGGCTGCTGGCAACGGAAACGGCGCCGGGGAGAATAGCAATAGCAGTTCCAGTAAGTTCTCCACCGCCAACTGCACGATATCATCGCAATCATCGCCGGACGATTGCGACACAGAGGCAGCAACTCCTGCTTCCACGTCCTCGAATGCCGGAGCCGTAGCGGGAACGACAGCGGCAGCCACAACCGCCTCGAAACCGAGTAGCCGGAACCACGGTACGGGTAACTCGATTAAGTTCCCCAACTGTATCAGTGCCACCAAGTCCGACAGCATCGATGGAGGCGGAAGTGCAGGTCAGCGGACATCACAGCCCACATCCGGGTACAATAGCAAGAACTCCAACAGCTCGACCAAGTCCTCCAGCTCTGGTAGCTTCGGCGCCTTCAACAGCCTGACGCAGCGGCTCTCGAACTTTAGTTTTCTGAGCAGCTCGGACAAGAAGGCAGCAGCCGGATACGAGGGCAGCCACTCGACGGCGCACCGCCAACACCGCAAAGCAATGAGCATGCTGAAGAGCTACAATCAACACAATCACAGCGGGAACCACAGTCAGAGCAACCACAGCAGCTCATCCAACTTCGGTCAAGCAAGCAATCTGGAATCGGGCATCGGGAGCAGCACGACGGCGCACAGTTTTGGTTCGCTGAAGATGAGCAAGTCGTCGCACCACTCGTCGCTGGCCGCAGCCGGGCAGTCAGTTGGGGCGGGGACAGGCGCTGGAGTGAGTACTTTCGATCCCATGCAGCTAATCGGCACACCCGCCTGCCCGCGCTTCGATGAGTGCCCACTGCTGGAACCGCTGCTCAGCAAGAAGATTGCCCACGAGAGGCTGACGGCGTTGATATTTCGCGAGGACTGTTTTCTGACGGCGTGCCAGGATGGGTTCATCTACACGTGGGCGCGGCCCGGCCACGCAACGGTGAGTAATGGATTTATATTCCTCATAACGGTCTGATTTATCTATCCAATCTTTTAGAACGCCACTCAGCACCTGTCACCTGGCCAAGCAGCGGCGCCCGGTGGGACGGTAATTTAGTTTAATAGAGTGGACATTGTCAACTATCAGCGTAATCTTGTCAAGCAGCAGGAGGAGCAGCAGCAGAAGCAGTCGGTGATCTAGGTTAAAACTAGGCGATTGATTTCGATAATTTATATTGATAGGAGCAAGAGTTTTAAAGGTTTTTTATGTTGCGTATTTTGTATTCCAAATGTAGCCTAAATGAGTTTATGAACCACACACATAGACACAGACAGACACACACTCGTACCCATATATATATATACAACATATATATACAATATATATAGCTATGTAAAACATAACTACGATCTATATACGCAGCATCAGGCAAACACAGAACAAACGTATATATGTATGTTTAACTCTAAATTATTAGTTGTAAATGTATTATTTTTTTAGTACGTGGAATTTGTTGAAAACAAAGCAAAGCAAAGCATGTTTATAACTATTTACTAAGCGCTAGCCTACACTACACTACATAATAAAATAAAAAGCAAAGAACGAAGAAGCGAACTGCATTAGCAAAACTAAACAAAAGATCGATCGATCGAGGGATGATGAGATGAGATGAGCTAGCCAGGAGCTATGTTTTCACATTGTGCTATGTACTGAGTTGCAGTTGAGGGCCCCAACTAACCAACGACAAACTATCTAACTATTTAAAGTCACGAAACTAACCTAAAGTAGGAACTGTTATCATTACTATTACTATGGATTCGTATGCCTTTTATACTTTTGATGCAAGCCGAGTGACGTTTTTAGGATGCAGACAACAACAACCGAAACAAATTAGACTAAATGCAGGCAGGACCCCCCATCCATATAACATCTCCAACTGGCACTCACATATATTTTATTATGAACCAGGAGAAACTAGCTACCAACTGCGCGGTTAGCCAATAAGTTAACGACGAGCAAGCAAGCAAACAACCAACCAACCAACACGTTACCGTAAAAAGAGACTAAAATTTCAATAAAATTATATAAAAAATCATCCATCCAGAGCATCATCAAGTAATGGGGGGCATGGGCATCCTTTTCATAGCTGATATTTATTTATAAAATGTGTGTTTTTCTAACAAAAATATGTTCTCTGGCGCGAATCTCGACCGACCGATTGAGAGGACTCAACATGCTGGGAATGATGATAGCCTTGGCTTTCGAGTACGTATCTGAGCCAGGTTATATCAATGAGTCTGCAAGTCAAGCTTCGGATCCGAGTGCAGTTCAAAAGGTCTTCGGCGCAGCCAGAATCTCTGCCTCTGGCAGATACAAATGCTTGGAGAGGAGGAAGGCAAACAGTGCTTGACCCACCACGACCATGAACAGGAAGTAAAGTTTTCGCTTCTTTCCGCCGCTGTAGTCAAACTGCTGGGGATTGCCGTAAGGATCATAGTTTATAGCTCCACTGGGTGCAGCTGGGGAGTTATCCTGCAGCAATTTTGTTCGCAAAGTCCGAAGCTAAAAGAGAGTATTTTTAAAATAATATTTCTGACTAAACAATATTTAGAGTCCACACCCACCAGGAAGAATCCAAATGAGAAACTTGTATACGCCAGGGCTATGTAGTATCCAGACTTAAAGAAGAGCGTGCTGACCATCAGGCAAACTACTATGTTCACGTACTTATATCCCGTAAAGGCCAGAAGGTCCAGCGTCTTGAGGCTCGTCTTCACGTTCATCACATACAGGGCAATGGAGTAAATAACCAGTTCGAAGATGCTGTACGCCATGGCACTGGAAGCCTGGATGCCGAGCTGCTCCGGGGAGAAGCGCTTCTGCATTCCAAGCAGCAGTCCGGCCACAATCACGTAAGTTATGTAGCCCATGGTGGGAAGGTAAAGATCCGGGGCATTCACGTCGTAGCGCGGCTGTACTGGGTGCTCCTGATCGTACCTCAGAGACCAATCCTACCAGGAAACCAATGGATATATTATAGAAATACGATTTCGATCCAAACTTACCTTGTGTATATAAGGGAAGAAGAGAAGACGCAGCTTACGGCCCACGTATGCATTGTCCACCGCAAAGTAGTACTTCAGCTTGGCCACAGGCACCCACTTTTCGAACTGATTCTCCACCAGCTGCTTGCCTTGGTCTGCTAGCCGCTGGCCATATTGCATAGCCATGTCCTGGACGATGGGTTGCTGAAACATTGCAAACTGTGGGTACTGCCCGGGCGGCACCGCTCCAGCTCCAGGTTGTCCGGGAGGCGCTAATCCATAGGCGGGTGGGGCTCCCGGTGCCGGCGCTGGCGACGGTTGAGTAGGCAGTGGAGCATAGCCAAAGTTCTGTTGTGGGTTCTGCTGCTGAGGCGGCTGCTGCGGCTGCTGGGAAGGATTTAAGTTAAAGCCGTAGCTGTTGGGCTGAGCCAACGGAGCCTGGGGAGCGGCGTACATGTTGGGATCGAGCATCCCAGGTCCGGCCTGTGGAGCCATAAAGCTCGAACTGGGAGCCGAGGGGCCCATGGCGTTAACATCGCTCACACGCTTGGGGGGCCGCGGGCGACCAGCAGCTGATGCTATTTTGGTAAAGAGCGAGATCTTGTTTAGTGACGGAACAGGTGAAAACTAGGGTAGGGTAAACGGGGGAACACAGGCAACAGGCAACGCAGGACGCAATTTCTGGGCAGGCACAGAACGTGGAGAAACAATATACAGGAGGTGCAAGATGCACGCTAACGCAACATAGGGTAAACGTAAACAGTGGCACTCCGGGTTTTGGGGCCCGGTCAGCGGTCAATCATCCGGAGTGGCGAGTGGGGTATACTTGCTTGCCTGATCCTTACAGTTCTCCCACTTACGGTTCCGCATACCCGCGTTCGGATTGTAGTTCATAATGTAGGCCGCTCGTCTTCGGGGGTATTCCAATTGGGATCTTCCTGTCTCACCGGATGAATATTGTATTCAAAATTTTGGTTTTTACACATCACCACATACGAGTGGGCTATTCAGTGAGACCGCGCCAAAAAAATACCATATTCAAAAAATACCAACTTTTGATTGACCAGGGATGGAAAGCTATTATTACTTTTTTAATTTATAAAAATAATATATTTTAACGATTTATTTATTTATCTAAAGCTAATAAATAGTTCTAAGCTAAGAGCTAACTAAGGGCTAAGAGCCATAGCTGCAAGGGTCTTCGGCTCGCAGTTAATTTTGGTTTATGGGTTATGGGTTCATAAAATTAACTATATTTTGCAATGGATTAGATTCACATTAATTGTGCATTTATTATCACAAGATATTTGTTTATTAAATTATTAGCATTCATATTTTGTAATAGATTTGGCAGCTGTCTAGAAACTTGAGGATGTTTTCTGAGTTTTTATTTGTTGGGTTGTATGGTAAGGGTAATGGTATCATTTTAATGATATTATATATGAAATATATGTAGCCTTAAAAATTCTTAGCTCAATTTCGATGAATATTTCGATTCATCCTTAAAATAAAATATTAATGATTATTAGAGTTATTATGAGAGTAGAGTTAAATTATTATTTGAGTAGAGGACTGGTTTAAATTTCAATAAACAAAATATTTGTGTAAACCTTTTTTAAGATGTTAAATTTTTAGAAGGTATTAAGGTCTAAATTAAGACAAGTTGAAAATGCAGTTAAAAAACCCTACAACGTTTCTTTAACTTTAATAATCATTATTATTTTATTCCAATGATTCATCGGACTTGATATAAGAATTGGTAAAAATTGGTGCAAATTTTTTTAAAAGTTAGATTTTTAGACAATATAAAATATATACTGTAAAATAATTTAATTTTAAAAATTATATTGTAAAATTTAACTTAGAAAAAAGGACAAAAGGGGACAGTATTCTAACTGATTTAAGAAAATAGTGTTGGAATATTGTTACTTTTTAGATCAAGTACTAAAAAATACAAGTGTGGGAAAACGTCGGTTCAGTGCTGTAAAACGTTTTCAATTTTGAGCGCATTCAACGACGCACGCAAAACAAATAAATGTAATTAAATGGAAAACGTATTTATTAAACGGCGCTCGCTGACTCTTAGCACCCGCCTGCTGCAGAAACGCCACAGTGGTAAGTATTTTCATTTCTTGAAATATACAAGAATGACCGTAATATTAATATTATCAACAGCTTCGCCGCAGAGCTGCGGGCGCCATGGAACCGGACAGGATGTGACTTTGTCTGCTGAGCCGCCTGGCTCTCCCTCGTCTATTGTGACACTATCAGATGATGGAGAGAGCACTCCGCCCCACAAGCGAGCGCCCAGCTTGGACGATAGCGTTGATTTCTCGCCTCGCCTGGACGTCAGCCTGTCGCCCAACTATCTATTTTCACAGACTCTGGCCACCGAGAGCCCGGAGGTGGGATGGCGCTGGAACCGCAGCAGTAACGCAACCACGGACAGTGGCTTCGACTCTGCTGAGATAACTTCGGCCAGTCAGACCACCAGAGATCGTCGCCGCCAAATAACGTTTAAGGGCTGCGAAGATAGGCGCACCCAGCTGGACAACGAGCAGTGGCGGGCACAGCAGATGCGGGCGCGGGAGATGCTGAAGGAGCGATGCGATAAGCTCCATCGCCAGCTGGACCAGGTGGCTGTTTCGGAAAAACCAGTACCAGGACCAACGGTTCATCATGTGGCGGCACGCACACGCTCCGCTAGTAAGAAAGTAGAACCCAAGCCCATTGCCTTAGCCCCTCCTCCAGTGGCAGCAGACCCCATGGCGGATTTCCTGAACGATTCTGAAACGGATATGTTTCTGTTGGAGGCCTCCCAGCAGCTGGAATCTAAGATAGACACTCAAAAGGTCGGCGAACCAGAGCCGAAAGTTTCGGCTATAACGACGCCAACCAGCCACCACAAAACGAAGAGACCCTCATTCTATATGAAATTCCTTGAGGATGAGAGCGAAAGTGAGGACTGGCTGAGTGCCTTGGAGGAAGCTGTGCAACAGGCCACGATGCCCAAAAAGCCGCGTACCTCGCTGCAGCGATACAAGTCGATGCCTACCACCGGAGACACATCTAGTGGCGTCTCCACGATAACAAGCGTAACAGCCGGCCGGGGAAGCTCGACAAGTACGAGTGCCTCCAACGCATCTGGAACAGCGATGGCCAATACGTCGCGTATCAAGCGTCATGCCAGCTCACATGCCCTATCCCCGGCTACTTCGCATGGTAAGTTTCCAGTGAATTCTATCCTTAAATAAATGAGTCCATCACATTCTTCCCTGCAGCGCGCGGAAAACTTTTTGGCAGCCGGAAATGAAACCCGACACGGTTACTGGCTACCGGCTCCCGCCCACAACCCACCGCCCATTCCAAAGTTCCCCCGGGAGTACCTATTGTGATGAGTAAAGATTCTTCGATTTAAGATTCTTCGTTTTGTTTCGTTTCTCTCTGACCGTTCTGCATTCCTGTGTGTATACGAGTACACTAATTGATTCATGCAGTCCTTAAGCTGCTATTGTAAATGTAAATTAAGGCTAATTAAAAATTAATTGTAATTTAAAACGGGCCCCTCAATTGCGATGCGACCGTTCGAACGAACGTAACTGGTGTACGGCGCATGCGACCCGCCATATGCTCGGCATTACGGGTCTTGGTTGCGCCGCCCACCTGCACAGATGAAACAGGTGGGACAGGTGGATGCGACGAAGACAGCCGGTGAGTTGTCTCCCCTCGTTTGAGCTTTCATTCAACGATAAGGCTCATTGACTTCGTAACTGTTTTAAATTAATTGGAATGTAGGCGAAGGATTTCATTTTTAATATACTCCTTGGTAGTTGTACTGGAATTTATTGTAACTTAATGATGCTTTCAAAATGACTTTAAAAGTATGTTAGTTAACATTTAAAAGTAAGATAAACTAGATTAATATATCTTTGAATTTACATTAAAAAATTAAGCATAAATATTGTTAGTTTACTATATTAGTTTAGAATTTAAAGTGATGTTCTTAAGTCTTCATTAATTTAAATTACAATTTTTATAGTATACGTCTTCATTTTTTCCAAAAAAAAAACAAAACATTTTTTTATATAATTAAATATTGTTAACATTCGAAAAGGTCTTAAGTATTATATATCCTTATTTTATAAGTTAATATATTAAGCGATTAAATATTAGATTATACTCTTACTGTAATGCATGTGATAAACGTTAGTTGGCACCTTTTTTGTTGGCTGGTATCAATTATTTTTCTCAGAGCATTTTACAATTTCCAATATTTCAAATTTATGACATGTTCGTAAACAGAATTTTAAAGGCAATAACCCGTCTGAATATTTATGGTAAATGAAATCAAAATATGAGAGTTCCCCTCTTGGGCTGTTGAAACAATCAAGCTGCCATAAAAACTTGGGTCACTTGCCCCGCCGCTGGCTTTTTGTGTTTTTGGCCAGCAGTTTAAAGGCTTGCTGCTCGGTTCTAGCTGCTGGCTGCTTGGGGCTTTATGAACCTATTTGGGCTAAGGTCAAAGTTGAAGCCCTTTTGCAGCCATTACGCGTAAGAGGCAATTGCGTTCATGTTTATGAATAGTCGTCCCTGCGAGCCATGCACTGGATCTGAAACTGGGGAATCGCTCCTAGACCCGATTCGAGGAAAGTCAAGTATGCTGCCATATGTTGACGAAGCGCAGCATAAACCAATGGCAAAACAGTTGCTAAAATTTAGCCCGATGTGGTGGGAGTGGGCAGAGGTGATAAAGCTGTGGACTTGCTGGGTGGGGGCTGGCGGGTGGCGGCCAAATTGGTGACGTCTGTGGATTGCTGGAGTCCGCTGCAAAAGCCAAGCCAACCGGGATGGAAAGTCAGGTTCTGAGGGAAAGCTTAGAGCAGCTGAGTGAGTTTGGTCAGAGTCTTAAGGGAAAAGGGTATTTTGGACCAAGACAAAATTTTTAATAAAATAATATTTTTAAGAAACTGTCTTCTTTATTAAATATTTTATAATATAAATGTGTTTACCATATTATATTGTTAAAAAATCCCCTTAAGGTTCCTTCGGAATGCCTCTGTACTTGGAAATGGGATAGTACCAGCTATGTTCGGGGGTGCGTTGAGTGGGTGGCGAGTTGCTCTTCGGGACCGAGCTTTTGAGAGAGCTTTCTTCCGATGCGGCGCCTGGCGGACATTCATAATGGCGTCTGTTGACGGCACTGGCGAACAGTTCTCAGCGCGCAGCGCTCCAGTAAAGTTCCAAATTAAAATATAAGGAAACCCCCAAGCAGAAACAAAGCACAACCACCAGTAGGAGAGCCAAAAATACATACACTCTCGGAAAAAGGAAAGGAAAACAAGTCGAAACCACAACAAAGGCAATTTTCGCAGTGCAATCACATCGTCTAACTGGAATCCTTGCTCCTCCAACACTCTGACTCCGACTTCAAATCGCGGGCCCAAATCTTCTAAAGTGTGCAGTGAAGCGCGGCCTTTACATTTTAGATACCCTCAGCCCCCAAAAGGCCCTCGCAACCCCTCTCAGTTCTCGGCCGCAATTCTTGTTTTGCTGAGCCGCCAGCGTTGCCCCATCGTCGCAAGAGAAGGAGCCAAGGAGGAAGAAAACCCGGACACTTTCTGATGGCCGCAGCTGCATGGAGCTGGCTGCTGGGCGCCGGATTCCTGGCCCTGTCGCTGCTCCTCCAGCTAGCCCACGTCGGTGCGGGAGCGGGAGGTGGCGGATCGGGAAGCGGCTTGAGCGGCCCCGCCGTCTTCACCAGCTCCTTCCTGGTGAGGTTCCGGCGAGGAGTGGACAATGGCTTTGCCCACCAGGTGGCAGACAAATATGGTTTCGACAACCTGGGCCCGGTAAGTAGATATGCGAAAAATCAATTATAGTATTGCCGTCGGCAAGGCCAGGTGGCCCGCTCGGGGCGGTGAAAGTAAGCGCCCCACAAACTGCAGTTGTCAAGCCCTAATTTTAACAGCTCGAATGGCTGCCATGTCTACGCGTCGGAGCCAGGTATATTTGGGTGTTGGTGAGTGCCTGTGGGGGTGTCAGGAGCGTGTCTAGAATGCCCAAAGCAAAGGCAAACCAACGGCCAAAGTTTCGGCGCTGTGGCATTGGCCAACTTCCGTCGGTCGAGCAAAGTTTCCGTTGCATACCGCTAGGCGCAAATTTTCGCATTGCATGCCAAACAGCCATTGCATTCGGGACAAGGTCAAAGTGGCAAAATAACCTGCAAAATCTCACACCGCACAAAAAACTACAGAAAATTGGTTAATAGGCCTGATTTTTACACTGAAAAATTAGGTTGCTTCATAGATTTTAATTCAAATAAAGAAAAAGGTAATGAAAGATTTTTTAGAAGTTTATAGTTTACATTCACCAAAGTTTTCTTTGTTTAAAATCAATTAACAGCGGTTTTTTATGTAAATATACCTATAATAATTTAGAAAAACATTAAATAGAATATGATAAGATTACGATTTCCCGTTGGCTTTGTAAAGAAATCTTTTTTTAACTCGTTTAGATGTCTCTGTTTTTGCAACCCGGTAACAGCTCGTCAGAATACTTACGCTGTTTCTTGTCAAAAGATTGTACAATCCAGATATGGTTTAGAGACCCGCCGAGTCTAGAGTCTAGACGATGTAATGTGCCTTACATTCGTCAAAATAATGCATAACATTACGTTCAACTTTGACAGGACTTGACAGCCATGACGCGCACTTGTTGCACGTCCCAAGATTGGGGTAATAACTCACTCTGGGAATGGGGGAATTAATGCGAGTTCAAGAGCTGGAACGGACGCAATTAATTAGGGACATCAATAACAACTAGATACCGGAACTGAGCAGAAGGACCCAGGGAGGTCCACCTAAGGAAGGTGCTAGAACCAATTAACTCTCCTACGCCTTGGAAATCTGATATCCTAGTGGCACCTGAGGCCCAAAGGCATCTCCAATCCCCTGATTCAAGGGGGAGATTTTCTAGTTATCCGCTAACTGTATTGCGACATCGATGCTGTGTGGCAATGGCGCAATCTCGTCTGCTCCTCCTCGTTTTACTATTTTTTTTTCCACCCATCTCTGCAGATTGCATGCCACAGTTGCTATGGTCACTTCTCCACATTGCACAAGCCAATCTGCGTCCTTAGTGCCACATTTTGCTCGGATGTTTTTCTTTTAAGCAACAAGAAAGTTCGTAACGAAACAACGTCGCCATTTTGAAAAAAGTAATGAGTTTTCAAAGTGGAGTATTTTTATATTTTAATTAGGATCAGATTACATTTTTGCGCATAGCTTAAAGCCATTTGTTATTATTGTTGCTGTCTAATTATTTATTGATTTGAGTTGGAAAGCCTTTTGAAACCCAAGTGGATTCCCTTGTCTCTGTTTCAAAAATAGACAACAATTTAATTACCAATCGCAGCTGGTTGTTCAGATGGACTTTGAAATGGTTTTTAGATAATTGCCAAAAATCCCTGGATTCGCGTGGGTGTGGTCCCGTGCAATAAAATTGCGGCACATGTAGAAGTAACAAAAAACCTACGGGAAAAAAAGGAAATAAAATCTGTTGCTCCTACGTCAACCGCTATCGCGGAATACAAATCAAAATGTATCCCAAACAAAATGTGCCCTTACCCAAGCAAACTCCGGGCGGCGAAGGTCGGGGGCACCCGAAACTCTCACTTCAGTTCTCATTCCAATCGATATTGTGTATACGCCCCATACGCCGAATTTTATCAACAGGACTTTGGCTATGTCTGTGTTTAGATTTTATGGCCTTTGATGTTACGACCTTATCGGAGCTAAAACGTTAGATTCAGTCAGCTTTTGCTGTGCAAATCAAAATAAATCTCGATCTTCGATAAATGTAATTGCCGGGCGAGTATTTGAATATCATGCTTGACCCGGAACCGTGAAGGCATGGAAGCGGAAAGTGAATTTCTTGCCTAAGTAAATACATATGCTTTCCTGCTGCCCACGGTGGAATTAAGCCCACGCAGCCGACGGAGTTTGATGGCAGGCAGGCAGGCAGCGCCTTTGCAGTTTTATGCCTGGAATAATTTTGCCAGTTTCTGTTGCTTTTTCTCCTCTAATGCCTTTGAACGGCTGCTTGTCTTAGTGGTGCTTAAGAGTTTACCTACGACTTGTGCGTCGGCCAGGCCCTGATCCTTTGAGCATGCATAATTTTTTATGCTGCAGACGTGTGCGTTAGCGCTTAATAACTTTAAAAGCTAACAAACTCACCTGTCACCAAGCCGACACCCTTGTGAGCCGCTTGTCCTCTTTGTCGGGCTCAGAGCCAAATCCTTGCATAAGCGTTAAGTCGGGACTCCCTTTGACGTGGCCAACG